ATTGTAAAAAATTTATTAAATCGTTAAATTTTATTACTTAAATTATTAAATTATTTAAATTAGAAAAAAATTACCTTCCTGACTGGGCGAGAACGGCAATAACAATAAGACAGAAGATAGCAAGAAATATGAATGTCTTTGCAGTGAATTTCATTTTTTATTTTATTTATTTTTTTTTTATTTATTCAAAGTACTATTTTAATATATATATTTAAAATAATAATTATTGTTTCAAATTAAACAATTTTTGATAGAAACGTGTATCAAAAGGAAAGGGTCTAAAAAAAGAGATAATGGAAAGATTGAGACAAGTATTTATTAGATAGCGTAAACATGGAATCGTAAAAAATTTGATACTGAAATCCTTTATATTTATTTATGAAAACTCGCTTGTTTGTGTGTGTTATCTTAGTATAGAATTTTGGCTTTATGTGATTCCTGTTTTTTCAAATCGATTTAAGCCATTGTAATATAATAGGAAAGCAATCAACTATGACGCAAAACCAAGAACATACCATACCATACTATTCAGAAGAATAACAGCCTTAAATGAAACATGAATAAACAAGAAAAACAAAAATGATTAATATTTTTTTTAAAAAAATTAGAATAATTTTTTAATATTAATTAATAATTTAATAAATAATTTAAACAAATTGATTTTTTTATATTTTTTTTAATTATATATTAATTAAATAATTTGTATTGTCGTAATAATATTTGATTGGATTGTATTACGAAAAGTCATGTTTTGTGAAAATAATTTATAATAGAATTTATCTCCTATCTTGTTTTTTAGGGAGAATTCCAGATAGTAGTTCTTATTCAGTATATTGAGGTTTAGCTGGAACAATGAATTATTCCCACAACATTTGACATACCTTATATTCTGGAGTAGTAGGGCATTCTTAGAATCTAATGCGGATAATAGAACGAATAATAATAAAGACCTAGCGGAACGGTTAATTCAAAACAATTCTTATTTCGACCATATGCTAACACTTCACTATTACATCAACATCAATATCAAAATCAAAATGATCTTTTTTTTCCTAACGTACCCACATGACCTTATAATTCCAAATTATGATTTTTCTGATGAAGTTCATAATGAAGACTTCATTATGCTTGACTAATAATGAAACACTACAAATTCCCAATCTCAACATGAGATCCTAATCTAGGACCATTACTTTTTCAGATTTATTGGACATCTTCACGATATATCAAGTCAACAAATAACCAATCAAGAAATTTAACATAACACATATGGTAAATACGATTAATGAATTACAATTCATGGTGAAGTTCAATTAGAAAAAACTTAGAAATCAAAATACCCAGCAAAATATAATAATATATCATATGAAAAGTTTTTACTTTAATATAATAATAATTTGGATAAGTATCTTAAATACAATATCATCACCAATGTGGCATCATTAGAATTGATATATAATTGAAATATTATGTTTATTTTATATAATTTAATAAATATCATATATGACCATTTATCTTTTTTATATAAAAGAGTTTAATCTATTTTGTATAATTCTTCAGTTTATTTTTAAATAACTTAAACTTTTCTTTTTCTTTTTCTCCACCAAAATAAATAATTATTCCATTTGGTAAAATACTATCTGAATAATCACTGCTCAGTGGAAGAAGATTTCTAAGTCATGTAAGAAGTATCAAATATATTCATTTTCATTGGTCAGCAGATGGGTAATTAAATCCACCAAATATATGTTTAATCCCGAATCGTCGTCATTTGCTGCTGCCTGGTAGGAATACTATCGCCAGTAATTGACGGTAATAATGTATAAACATATTTTGAAAAATCAAACTTATTTAAATATCCATTATTTATTCACTGATTGATAGATTTCATAAATAAATCTATATATTACCTATTATATCTGAAATTATAGAACAGAAGAAAAGGAAATATTAAAAAAATTAAATTAAATTAAATTTTATAAATTATAAAAAAATCTTACCTTGCGTAACAAATAGTTTTTATAGGAGGTACGTACATTACAATCATAGTTTTTGGTAAAAGTAAACTTTCTAAGGGAATATATATTAGAATTAAGAGTTGGGCATTTATTATTACACTATTATGATAGTATCTTTCACTTAGGGCATAGAATAAAATCGAATACATCATTAATCCTTGAAAATAATAGAATATATATAATTTTCTTGAATTATAAAATGATAATTTAAAAGATGCGTCCGAATTTTTTAAAAAAATAAATATGATCATTTCAACAAATATTATTCAAACTTTTTTTTATCTCTGTAATTTCCAAATATGTGAATTTTTTAGTTTCGCCAGCTACTTCTAGATCTTATTTTCTCTTTTATGGAAAATAAAAATTGGAATATATTTCTTCTTTTAAAAAAAATAAAAATTACAAGACAAATCAAAACCACTGCACCTATTCCTGTTCCAAACCCAATCAGAAAAGGGCTTGAAAACTTTGAAGGACTAGATGGTACTCTACCATAAAAATAATAATTCAAATAAGTTAATTATTAATATTTTATATTTTTTTTCTAATAAATAATAAATTAAAAATAAACTTACGTATATGTAGAAATAATAGTAACAGTGTTCTCAGTAGGTGAACCAGAACCAGAAGGGCCAGCACTACCAGAAGGAGTTGGAGCACCGGAAGGAGCACCTGAAGCAGGAGGTGCACCGGAAGGAGCACCTGAAGCGGGAGGTGCACCGGAAGGAGCACCTGAAGCGGGAGGTGCACCGGAAGGAGCACCTGGAGTACTAGTAAGATTGTTAAAAAATTTATTAAATCGTTAAATTTTATTACTTAAATTATTAAATTATTTAAATTAGAAAAAAATTACGTTGTCTGGGCGAAAACGGCAATAACAATAAGACAGAAGATAGCAAGAAATATGAATGTCTTTGCGGTGAACTTCATTTTTATTATTTTTTTTTATTTATCCAAACCTATAATACTATTTTAATATTTATATATACTATATATTTAAGAATATTACTATTATTTTCAGAATTCGAGATTATTAAATAATTTTTAGTAGAAACCTTATCAAGAAATGGGGCCAGTATTTATTAGATAACATAAACATGGAATCATAAAAATAAATTTGATATTGAAATCTATTACACTATAATAAATTGAATTAATTAAAAAAAAAATAATGTTAAATCTTTTTTTTAATTTGATTTTTTTTGAACTATAGAATGATAAAAAATTTTTTTCCTTGCCATTGATCAAATAGTTGTATAAATATGTGTGCGTTACGTTACGTACGACTGTATCAAAATTTTTAGGTAGAATTATTGTTATAGGTCATATGATTTAAAAGATGCAATTTCATTTAAAAATGCAAAATCCATTATATTTGTTGCTTGATGCCAATTCTGGCAATTTTGAATTGTTGTTTTACTACAGAATTATTATGCGCATTCTGTAATACAATAAGTATAAAATTTCGTTCATTTTCAATCATATTTTTTCGATATCCTTCCATTTTCAGCAACCGTCTTATGAATATTGTCGTCCAGAGAATAATATGGTTTATGCAAACACCTTAATTAAACGATTTTTTGAGTAGCCATTTCCTATTTCATTTAAAGTTAATGAATAATTAATTATTATATAATTTATTGATTATTAATTAATTAACAAAATAAAAATATAATACGAAATTACCGTGGGTTATGTTTATAATAATACTTAATAAATAAGGTTTATTATTTAAATTGACTTCAATTATTTATTAGTGATTGGAATATATATATGCGCGGGAAATTATCTAGGAAGACCTCATTCACGAGTTAAATTCCATATACTAGATTAATTCAGACGATTGAGTAGCATTTTATATCCAAGAGTTGAATCACTTATGATACATAAAAATAAATTTAAGTAAATTATATAAGAAATACATCTTTTAATAATTTTCTTGAATTATAATATGGAAATTAAGATTTAAAAGGTGCAATCCGTGCAAATTAAAAAAAAAAAAACGACTGATCGATTTATCACCTGTGATTTACAAATGTGAATTTTTAGTTATAATTTCAAAATCTCTAACATTTATAGTTCCCTATTGTTTTTGCTGCCAGCTATTTCAAGAATTTGAACATCATCTCTTTTTTTTTTACGATAAATAAAAATTGCAATACAGATAATGCAGATCAAAACCACAAAACCTAATCCTGT